TGTTATGAACAAGTCTCAGTAGGATTTTGTTAATTTTTAATGTGTTTTTTAAATTTTATTAATTTTAATGAACATTTATAGATATTTTGGATTTCCATTCATTTATTGTTGCACTTTTCTCCCTGCCCCCCTCCCCAGTTCTCTCATCTCTTTGAAAAGTAAAAGAAAAATTTCTTCATTCATATACAATCCCCTCACCACTGCCCCTGTCCCAAGTACACTCCACTACGCAACCTTCATTCTGGACTCTTGTGATAACCATAATACCCTCGCTCTAAGAGAGATGCAAATCAAAACAACTATGAGATATCATCTCACTGCATTAAGGATAGCAAAATTTAACAGAACAGCAAACAACAAATGCTGGCAAGGTTGTGGAGAAGCTGTAACTCTTATTCACTCTTGGTGGGAGTGTAAAATGGTGTAACCACTGTGGAAAGTGGTGTGACGCTTTCTCAAAAAGTTGCAAATAAAGATACCATTTGACCCAGTAATTCCACTACTGGGAATATACCCTACAGAGACCATAACTGACATCCAAGCAGATATATGCACACCATGTTCATCACGGCTTTGTTCACAATAGCAAGGAGTTGGAAACAACCTAAGTCCCCATCAACAAATGAATGGAAGAAGAAGAAGAGAAGCTGTGGTATATTCATACAATGGAATACTATGCTGCATTAAAAAACAGGGAACTCATGCAATATTATTTAAAATGGGTGACCATAGAGGACATTATGCTGAGTAAAATATCTCAGTCACAAAAGAATAAATATTGCATGGTGCCACTGCTGTAGAAAGTGACTGACATCAGGGCTGGGGTAAGACTGCAAAAAACTGGGTAGATTATGCATACTGAATTGAAACAGATGAGGGAGAGAACAATTTAAAAGTGATATATGATAGCATATTATGATTATCACAGAAATCCAGAATTAAGGTTGCATAGTAGAGTGCATTTGGGGTGGGGGGTAGGCTTAAGGTTGGGGGGATTGTATACCAACAAAGAAGTTTATGTTTTGCTTTTCAAAGAGAGGAGTGAACTGGGGGGAGAGGGGTAAAGAGAAAAGTGCAACAATAAATGAATAAAAATCCAAAATCTCTGTAAATGTTCATTAAAATTAATAATTGCAGACTTAGTGACAGAAATGAGATTGGATGTTAAATGACTGAATTGCAAATAATCGATGATTTCTTCATTGCAAATATCTTCTTTAAAAAACACAAATGGGAACTATACACATGGACAAGACCTAATGGACTACAGAAGAATCAGACTGTCTACATATATGGAAGGAATCATTGGAGAAGCTCAATATTAGCATTCAAACCAGGCCAAGTGCTGACTGTGGAACAGGCCATCAATTAATTAATCATGGTCAAGTTAAAACTGAAGATGAAGAAAATTAAAATAAGTGCACAACTCAATATGGACTAGTGTCTTGTCCACCTGAATGAAAATCATCTCAAGAATAGATTTGAGGCTTTGAATATTAGTGATTGAAAACCAAATGAGTTACAGATTGACATCAAATCTCACATCCATGAAAAAAACAAAAAGATCCTATTTTAAGGACAAGAGAGAAGAAATAAAATGCTTTATACATAAAGAGTCTTATAACAAACACTTTTGGAATATAAAAAGAATGAGTCAAGGCAACAATCTGATGAAAGTTCAAAATGTTAAGGCTTTATAAATTTATGCTAGAATTGGTTGCACTAAGAATATAACTGATTTTATTAATCCTGGGGTAAGGGTATAAATCTAGCATGAGCTGTACCCTTATGCACATGGAGAAAGATTCCATGTGAACAGCAGCTCAACATACATCAGTTGGTCCTGAGAGACGGGCGAGTGCCCTTATGAAGAATGGGCGATGGCTGTGTTTATTAACAAAATGTAAAGAAAATGAAAATATAAGAAATTGAGAAACAAACTTCTGATTGGACAATAATTATGATTGCACGTTTTTATTTCCAGAAGTAATAGAATAAAAGAAAGAAATGCTTATTTAAATAGATTGGAAGTTGCTTACAATAGGCCTGAATTTTAGAATTTGCAAACATGGCCATGAAGAAAGTAATTTAGTTTTTGCAACAGAACATGCATATTTGAATGTCTGCTCATTAACCTGTTATGGAGAATAGTAAGAGAGTATAAGGAGTTTTCTGGAAATATAAAAATTATTTCAAAGAATTTCGTTTAGTGAATAATCCTAAATACAACCGCGACATAATTCTTTCAAGTCTCTTGGGTTTGACAAGCGGATGAGAAATTCCCTCAACCCACGTTCATAACTCCTCCTTTCTACACACTCATTAAGGACATTTAAAATTGGTGACTAGCAGCTTTCTTCTCCAATTTGACTTAAAGGAGTGTCTGCTGAATTCCTGAATGCCAGAGACTTTGTTTTGAGTTTTGTTGGAGGATGAACATAAATCATACCTCAGATGTTTGGAGAGAGGAGATTATCAGGACAACAGAGAAGAGAAAAAAAATAGTGTGAAAGATTCTTCCAGAGTATGAGCACAGTATAATATTGACTGATAGTCCTAGAATCTGTCAAATGGCTTAGAGTTCATGGTATTGTTAAAGAATGCGCAGATAAAAAGCACCAGCATTGCATAACACAACACACACATACAGACAAATGGATTTTATGGTAATTAGAGAGTATATGAAAATCTGAAAATTTATACTCCAGGATCTGGTGAAAGCAAAACCAGCTGCCAACAACCATCAAAGAATGAGTTAAACTGTTTCTAAATTCTCTTTTCACAATTTTTTGTTGCTAGTTTCTGTCTACATTAGCAATACCATTAGTTCACTGACTTGATCCTGAGTTGTTTATTTACATTCCCAACTGTCACTCACCATCTGTACCATTCAGGTAAGTCTTACAAGTTAGCTTTGGTGTCAAACGTTGTGATAACTTTCAAAGATAACAAATTTGCATTTGATTGACTTTAGAGAAGAAAAGCTTTGGTTATATTATATAGAATCAGTGAACTATGGATGAGGAATCCATTGAATTGAGTCTGGGTAGCGAACTGAAAATCATAACTGACTATGCTAAATGTATGTTAAAAAACACAGCTTTTATCATATAATGTAATCCGTGCTGACTTTACTCTTTACTTGAAGTTTAGCTGCTTAATGCAAGTTGCTTCCTTAATGACGGCATACTTTGTAACAGTTAATATGTTAATAGCTGATTTAGAAATTAGTGAGTTCATGTGAAAGCAACTTTATTTAAGACTCTACAGATGAATAAAATATTACAACACAATTCTTAATAGAATCAGGAATATTTCCTTAATGTACATCTTTAGAATTTCTTAAAACTAAGCATTTTTATTACGCTAATCAAATAAATTTCAAAGGGTATATAAAAGACCAACATTTCAGAAAATATATTCATTCATAAGTATAATGAAAAACTGATTGCCTTTTATTCATTTGTCCTATAGCCTTCTGAATAATTTGCACTACTCTAAAGCTTTACTCTTTGCTTCTCCTTGTTTAACCCTTCTTTGGACTTAAGGTCAACTGTTAATCACCCTTTGTGTTCTCTTGAGCTGTTTATATCTAAGTTCACATAAATTACAGTAACTTGTGACAATATTAGTATTTGGTTGAAATATTACTGAGCCAAAACTGCCAAATCTCAGGCTTAATATAACTATGAATAGTTTAAATCCACAAAATAGAGTCTCTGTTTTGTAAGGGAGCTCTGGTGGTCTAGTGGTAATAAAGAATCGTGCTGCCAACCTAACGGCTCATAGTTCAAATTCACCAACTGCTCTTTGGGAGGAAGACAGACAAATCCCTGCCATACAATTTACAGTTATAGAACTAAGGTATATCTGATTCAGGCCATGGACATACTGATCGCTTGCTATGAATCTGAAATCTGGGCAAAAGATAAAAGAATTGATGTATTTGATTGTAGCGCGGGAGAAGAATGCTGAATATCTCACGGACTGCCAAAAGAACAATACAACAACAACAACAACAACAACAAAATGTCTTGGAGAAAGTGCAGCTATAGTGCTTGTTGCAGGCAAAGATGATAAAGATTCATATCACATACTTTGGGTGTGTGGTTGAGAGAGGGTATTCCTTAGCTTGGAAAGGTGGAGGGTAGGAAAAAAAAGAAAGACTCTCAGCCAGATAGATTTACATAGTGACTTCTGCAATGGACTCAAATGTGTCAGGAAGATCCAAGATAGCACAGGATAGGACAGGGCTCAAATCTGCTGTTCATAGTGTCACTATGGGTTCTCAATGTGATGGCACCTAACAAGAACAACTCACTAGGGTGTTAGTTATGAATTGGTTCTCATTAATGACACACATCACCACCAACATTGTGACTTGGTTAACAATTCTATCCTTTTATTTTTTTTTTCTAGTTCTCCCATTTTTACATGGACTGTGATTTTCTAGGGATAAGTTTTCTCTTTTGTTCATTGCTCTTGCTCATTTTCTAGGTTGCTATCCACTTCAATATAGCCTATATATTAATGGCAAATATATACAGTTACACAAACATCTTATGCTCTTGTGTGTTAGCTTGTCAGAGAAGTGAATTTTCTGGATTGTAGTGACAGCACCCAAGTTAAAGAAAATTTGTTTAAAAGTCCATTTACATGCCAAATAAAACAACCTAGATTTTTTTTCTCAACAGGTCTTGAAGGAAAACTGCAAAAAGCCAGTGGTTTGATTTCTTACTCTGTTCATTTTTTTGCTAAATATTTTCTATCTGCCATGCACATTTTATTGTATTGTGATACAGTGCCTGTGCATGTCTCCTATGAAAATATTAATGTGTTATCTGCTTTTCATCAATGATATGAGATGGATGGCATGATCATAGAGTCCTGTCCAAATAAGACAGACTATGCTGACTTTGGATAAAAATAGGAAGGGGAAAAAGAACAGTATCACTGCCTGCAAAGCTTCTTTTGTCTGAATCAGAAGACCCAACTATACCATGTCCATTTCCAATACCACAGTCTTCATGCCCTCTGTGTTGAGACTAGTAGGGATTCCAGGTCTAGAGTCTGTCCAATGTTATATTGGAATCCCATTCTGTGTCATGTACCTCATTGCTTTGATTGGAAACTCCTTGCTTCTAAATATCATAAAATCAGAACAAAGTCTCCACGAGCCCATGTATATTTTCTTGTGCATGTTAGGAGCCACAGATATTGTACTCGCTACCAGTATTGTGCCCAAGATGCTTGGAATATTCTGGTTTCATCTATCAGAGATCTATTTTGATTCCTGTTTATTTCAAATGTGGCTCATCCACACATTTCAGTGCATCGAGTCAGGCATCCTGTTGGCCATGGCCCTGGACCGTTATGTTGCCATCTGTTACCCACTGAGGCATGCCACCATCTTCACTCACCGGCTAGTCATTCAAATAGGTACTGTGGTAACACTCAGGGCTGCCATTCTTGTTGCTCCATGCCTACTACTGATAAAGTGTCGGTTTAAATTTTATCATACTACCATCATCTCCCACTCCTACTGTGAGCATATGGCTATTGTAAAGCTAGCTGCAGAAAATATCCAGGTCAACAAGATCTATGGTTTGTTTGCAGCCTTCACTGTTGCAGGATTTGACATAATTTTTATCATCTTGTCCTATATCATGATATTGACCACAATTTTTCACTTGCCCCAGAAGGAAGCAAGATTCAAAGCATTAGATACTTGCATCACTCACATCTGTGTCTTCCTGCAATTCTACCTTCTAACTTTCTTCTCCTTTTTCACACATAGATTTGGTTCTCATATACCTCCTTATATCCACATCTTCTTCTCTAGCATGTATTTGCTAGTTCCTCCATTTCTCAACCCACTTGTATATGGCTTAAAAACTAAGCAGATCCGGAATTATGCAGTGAAAATGTTCAGTTCTTAAAATTCACACTAATAAATACATTCATACATTTTGTGTAAAAAAATAATCATCATCATCATCTTTCAAACAAAATAGATGTTCACATTATTTGAAATGTTTGGGTTTCCCACTTAACATTTCTTTAATTGTACCAGCTAATTTCTAAGTTATTATAGCCTATGACTCTATCAATCAATAAAATTGCATCTTATTTTGATGATGTAGAAAGAGGAACATGACTATGTAATCTTTCCTTGTGGTTTTAGGTTTAGGTTCTAGCTGAGTGGAGACAAGAATCATGGGGAACAAGGGGGAAGAGTGATATTACAATGTTGATTAAAGCCTTAAAGAAAAATCTTTATGAATGATTGAGTAGAAAGCAAACTTTATCTTTAAATGTTCACTCTAAATACACAAATGAAAAAAGGGAGGTAAGTGTTCTAAACCCTGTTCTAAATAATAGCAATTGAGGTCTTAAAAGCTTATGAGTGGTTATCTTAGGTACAACTATTAGTCTTTCCCTATAAGAGCAAAAAAGAAACGAATAAAAATATATTTAAGTAATTAGTCTGAGAGACAAATGCGGAGATATTCATCTCCAAAATCTTAATACCAGAAGATACAGAAGATGCCAGGCTACCACTATTAACTGCTCTGAAAATGATAACACTTGAAAGTCCTGGATAGAGTGGAGAAAATGTCTAACAAAACTCTAAACCATTTTTACAAAACGACTATATTTTATAATCAGATACACTCTAGTGGAATTTCCGAGACTAGGATTCTCAGTCACTCTTCAGCTCTGGAACTAAGCTCATCTCCAAGGCTTGATTAAATGCCAAACAATAGGCAAGTTTATAAGATTTACAGTGATGTTAGAGAAGTACACAGCTCTTAAGACAACCAGTCTTTTTAGATCAAAATAGTAGCATTTGTCAAGGATAAAGTTGAGATGTAAGGAAGAATTATAAAGAAAAAAGGAATGGAAAAGAAAAACATGGCAAATAAGTGAGATGGGGCTAATTGCATTTTTGGAATAGCAGTCAGTCACAAGTTGAAGAATATAAAACCAATTTGTCCTATAAACATTTTCCAAGTATGTCTGAATTGTTGAATAAAAAAAATGATAAGCTCTATAAACTTTAATGCAATTTAAATATATTTCTTAAATATAATAAAGCCTATATTGGATGTTTTCCATCACAATTCAGTGCTTCAATCTGTAATTTCCACATAAAAACACCAATAATATTATTAAAAGTAACTATTATTTGTAAAAAAAATACCACTATAACCTCACAGGACCAATCCAGAGTCATCACCTTGAAATTAATATCAATTTTATCATACTCTCTATGATTTACTGCCTCTGAAAACTCACTAGAGGGTCAGCTGTGAGTCAATTTCCACTTGGTGGTATATAAAAACAACAGAGTCACCAAGTTCCAGCAATTATTTTAAAAATTATTTTAAATATCTTTTTTCTGTCACTATTATGCTTCCTTTTAAGTCTTTCATCAGTTCTCATATGAAATAATAAATTATGTTATCACCTCTCATGTATTGTTGTTGTGTTGTATACTGTTGTGTCGGAACCAACCAATAACTGACCCTCTGACAGATTTTTTGAGACAATTGATCCCACAGGAGGAGATTGCCCTTCTCCCATCTCATTCATTAGTATCTGCATTTTAAACAATGATTCTGAAAGTGTCTAAGAGTAAAAGCCATTATGGTAAGGTAAACTTTGCATTACATGATGCAATGTTGTTAAGTTGTTGTTAAGTGCGGTCAAGTCGTAGATGACTCATAGCGATCCTAGGAACAAAGGACCTGAACACTTGTATAGCTTCCGTCAGGATGCTCCACCAAACACTGTTCACCGTGGGTAAACATTATTGCATTTGACACATCAGTGTCACAGTGTTTAGCATCACAGCAATCACAAGTTACCTCTGTACAGCAAATGGACAGAACATGTAGACAGTGTCTGGTGGAGCTCAGTGATTAAAACAAGCTTGGAAGCAGAAGTGGCATCCACTTCTGAAATGGCTTGTCTCCAGAAAAGCTATGAACATGGAAAAACCACAAAAGTTAAACAAGTGTTCAGATCTTTCATTCATAGGGTTGCTATGAATCATCCACAACTCAATGGCACTTATCAACAACAGCAATGATGCTATGTAGGATAGAGTAGAGCTGCCTCATAGAATTTCCAAGGCTAGAAGCTGACTGTCATGTGTTCCAAAGCAGTTGGTGTGTTCAAACCACCTACACTTCAAAATGCAGCCTCATTATTACTCATTATGGTACCAGGATGTTTATCTAAAGTTGTTGTTGAATGCCTTCGAGTTCAGCATGACTCATAGTGACCCTATGACAAAAGGCCTGAAACATTTCTATAACTATCAACATTTATTAAAGTTCATAGAGTTTCCGGAGGCACGTTATTTAGAAAGTGAATGCTACACATTATAAAATTAAAATATAAACTGTTATCTCCAAATATTTTGTTTTATTTATTCTCTAGGGAACTTTAAAATCCTTGCATTTTCTGCAAATAAAAAACTAGTCATTGTATGTATGCAAATCCTGCTGTCACACATGCTAATAAATACACACACACACACACACACACACACTGCCCTAAGTATCGTTAGCATTCTAAAATGAAAATATGAAGAATGTCTACCTGTTTCACCATCTGTGCAAAGGCATTTGACTGTGGGGATCACACAAACTGAGGCTCACCTTGAGGAAAATGGGAATCTCAGAACTCTTGATTGTGCTTGTGTGAAACCTGTACTTGGTCCAAGAAGCAGTCCTTACTAGCAATATTTAACAGAACAGCAAGCAACAAATGCTGGCAAGGTTGTGGAGAGACTGGAACCCTTATTCACTGTTGGTGGGAGTGTAAAATGGTGCAACCACTGTGGAAAGCATTGTGGCGCTTTCTCAAAAAGT